ATTAATAAAAGAAACTAAAAATGACTTTAGTATTATATGTCATGAACAAAATGGATTGAAAGTTACTTGTTTAAAACTTAAACTTATGACAATTTGAATTTAAATGATTATATTGCATCAGATAAGGGTGGACCTATGTTTGATCTAATTTTAACCAGATCAAATTCGACCACCCTTAATGGGATCAAATTTGAATTTAAATTCAGACACATGGGTACCATGTGCAGCCCTATCAAGATTTGAATAAACTGATCAATAAAAATAAATCAAATGATATTAATTACAGAACATTTTTGGTAGGATAGAGAGAGATGGTTAGCAAGCGTTAGGGGTATTTTTGACATATTAAAAAACTAAGATTACATAAAGTATGTTAGGGTTATTTTTATCATTTAAAAATATTTTTATGAGACCATGGCAAAACGTGACATAAGGGGTTTTTTTGGAGGCAAATAAAAACCAGGGGAGGTTTTAGAAGTTGTGAACAAAGTAAGGGGAGCTTTTAGATATGTGAAATTCTTACTTTGACGTACCCTTGTTCCTCTGCCACCTGTTCTGATATTTATCTGCAGCATTCATTTGCACATGAAAATGGAACAATCAAACATCAAAACGCCATTAAAGATGGTTTTTGAGGTTGGCTGAAATGAGTCTCGATTTGGTCCATCAACTGTGGTGGCTCAGTTGGTAGGTTTTCTGCCAGCAGCCACTACGGGGAATATGGGCTTGGGGGATGGGCTGTCCCCACCCGTTCTGTAGCCCCATAAAGGAAAAAATAAAAAAAGAAAAAGTCTGACAAAGAAAGAAAGAAAGAATGTCGGTTTCAGAATTTGTATACATTTGGGAGAATAATGGGTGTCAGAATTTATAGGTTTAAAATATATTTGGGATTTATTCTTCAAAAAAAAAGTATATTTGGGGTAAGCTCAGAATTAATGCCAATTCATGGGCAGGTATAAATGCATAAAGTATGAATTTTTAACCTTTTAAATGTTTATAATTTTGCAGTGGAAATCAAAAATCTGCAATGAGCCTATCCGTACTTTTCTATTCTTTTTTTCTTTGAATCACTTTTGTGTTTATGTTTGATTGAGAGGTTTCCTGATTGTCTTTTTTATCACAATTTGCAGCAAATGCCATCTCATGGCTCGGATGGTTAGTCGGTACACCTCCAAGATAGATATAAGATCAAACCAGCGGAACCACGAGCTCTCTTTGAACCCTACTCTGACCCCACCCCTGATTCTTCTCTACATTGCGATGAATTAGCAAAAAATTGTCATTGCCGTTCTAAAATTCAGATTTATTTTTCAATTCTTCCTTGTGATACAAACTCTGTCAAAATAGTTCATTTTCACACTTTTTTGTTTGATGCTTCTTTCCAAGGCACCTCACTCATTATGATGTAAACTACAGTTTGGTGATTTTTCTTTTTACCATTTGGTGATTATATCATATCCTTGGATAATCTGGAAACCAACCTTTTATTCTTTACAAATCCAACTGCTTTTTATTAATACTAAATTTATACTATTTATTTGTTGCAGGATTTGCCAAATATACTAGAGGACACAAGAATTTGGCACATATGACATTTCTTTTGTCCTCTAAAAATGGATTCTTACTCTTTATTAAACTAACCTACCAGGTGGGTGGGACCTTTCTAATGGTGGGTCCTCATTTTTAAAACATAGAATATGTGGCAAACTATGTGAGTGGATAAATAGTTGCTTCAATGAGAATAACAGGAACAACGGAAAAGGATTATTTTCCAACCGGTAAGTGTGATTGTCTTTGGTAACATTGCAGTTTTTTCACCAAACAATTGATCAATAGAAACTTACAAGAAATATGTGTCATATAATGCATGCCCTTACCTCCAATCAGAATAATGTACATAAATATTTATTTGTAAATGAATAAAGTATATTGTTGTTTCATGTAGATATTGGTATGTTTCTATCTATTATCCCTTAAATTTGACACTTAAGAGAATCATGTTAATTTAGAATGTTCTCGGCCATTGATAGATTTGGGTCGAACCCATATGGGCTTGTGTGAGATCATTGTGGATCCCACACTATACATAGAGGTGTAAAACGGGTCGTGTCGTGTCAATCCGCGGCCTGTCCCGGGCCATGCTGCCCTCCCCTAGGATAAATTGGGAGTGGGCCAAACCTTGGGCCAGGCCGGGTCGTGGGCCTGGCCAAAGCTATTTATTTGAAAATTTGAAAAAAAAAACTTAAATTTTTTATTTTATATGAATTTTGATGTATATAATTGCTTATATATACAATAATTAAATAAATTAGTATAATAAATTTGAAAAAAATTGCTTATTTTATTAATATATTATATGCTCTATATTATTATATAATTATAATTTATATAGTATATTATATAATATATATAAAAATATATAAAATATATAAATATATTATATAGTTTTTGCAAGAAAAACGTTAAGGAAGATCAGGCTCACTCACCCTATTCAATCCAAGCAAGTTGGATAGCAGTTTTAGAGAAAACAATGTTGTTTAACTGGCTTCACCTATACACTACGCCATCTTCAATGAAGGCTGATTTTATAATTATTTGAACATGAACTTTCACCTTGCAATCTGCACTTGTAGTATCCGTATCAGGTATAATTTCCCCTTTTTTATTTGGTTTCAAGTTTGGTCAAATTCTGTGCAAGATCAATCCGAAAAAAAAAATACAATTTTTTAAAACATCGGAAAATCAGTTCCTAAAAAGTTAGAAAATTTTTGAACTTTTGCCTAACCATCTTACATGTTAAACCATCCATAAAATGGATAATAACCCTTACAACAAGATGAATTGTCACATCAAACATCACATAAGGTATGTGAGTCACTTCAACTAAAAATATGCATGTGTGGATTGATCATTATTGTTTGGAGTCGAAACATCATATTTAATGTTTTAAGTAACAGCAAAACAGCAATTTGTTTTGATTAACCCAAAACGATTCTAATTATGTAACATGACAACTCCAATTCCAAGCACATACGAAGAGAATGAGGATAAAACAAAAAACCATAGGAAAGGAGATTAAGGCCACTTTTAGCAGGTCTTTCTGTGGCATCTTTTGGGCCTTTTTAGTCTTGAAAGACCAAAAAAGCCACCTTTTTCTGTTTGACATTGGAAAGACTGAAAGACCAAAAAGGCGCGGGCCTTAGCAAGTTCAGGACGGGAACAGGAGACACTTGGGTTGTATTTTGTTCGATATAAAATAAGAGAGGAAGTTTTCAAGGCGTGGTTCACTTGCAGTGCAATTTCATGTTCACTGATCCAAAAGCATGCAAGCATGGTTTTCAAAACCGGACCGGACCAAACGGTCAGATCAGAAAACCGGAATCGGTCAAGTGATTGGTTTTGGTTTTCCCCAAAACCGGGTTTTTCATAAAAACTGTTGATTTTGGTCAGCAAACCATTGACCTGGGCGCTAAACCGTTTCAAACAGTTTTGACTGGTTTTTATTTTTTTTATTTTTTTATTTTTTTGTCAGAACAGGCCAATTGTTCTGTTCAAACAGTTGGACCATTCGACCTGATAACCGGACCCCTGACCGATTCGGTCTCTGTGTCGGTTTAAAAATCATGCATGCAAGTGTGCAGTTTCTTTTTTTTTTTTTTTCATAGATTGAAAACTCCTGAGGATACACTTAGGCCGTGTTTTGTTTGATAGAAAATAAGAGAGAAAGTTAGAGAGGAAGTATTCAAGGCGTGGTTTCAGTTGCAATGCAATCTCATTTTCACTGGTGCAATATCAAGTGTGAATGACTCGTCTGCAAATTCTGATTTATTTTTGTTTCTAACTTTTGCCTTACTTTGTTTCTTTACATTGCAGATGAACTCATGAACCTGAAGTAAAGTAAAATAAAACCCAAAACAAAAGTGAACCCATAATGTGCATTCTTTTCAACCCCACGGTCCACCATCCAAATCTGCGACCCTCCAATCAAAACAAACTTGTGGCCGAGCTTTCTAGATAACAAATTTTAGAGGTGTACAACGGGCCATGCTAGGCCGGCACGGCATGACCCACATGCAGCATGTACAAAGTGTAGGTCAGGCCGAGCTGGTCCATGGTCCGAGCCTTGGACCAGGCCGGATCGTGGACAGGACCAAAGTTATTTATTTAAAAATTGAAAAAAAATAAAATTTTAATTTTATATGAATTTTGATGCATACAATTATATATACAATAATTAAATAAAATAGTAAAATAAAATTGAAAAAAAAAAGTGTATTTTAGAAATATATTATATACTATATATTATTATATAATTATAATTTATATAATATATCATATTATATATATAAATATATATTATATAAATAATTAAATACATATAATATATATGGGCCATGCCAACCCACGGGCCACAGGCAACACAACTCACACCGACCCGGCCCACTAACTTGAAACCCCAAACCCAGCACAGCCTATCAACCCATACAATCGTATCATGGCACGACACGGCCCATAGACCATCAAACCGAACTGGCTCAAAACCATCCTGGGCCGTAATAGGCTGTGAGCAGCACGATCTGATTTACGCCTCTAATAACAATGCCAATCCTTTAAATGGACTCACCTATCAAATCTGCTCCAAATCTTAAGCAATTCAACTCGTCTCCTAATTTATTTAACATACCTAAAGCGTAAGTAAGCGCAAAAGTTGATAGATGAAATGGTGGAACTGCCATTCAATTTCTGACATTACTCCATTTCCATTTTCTTTTTTGAGGAGCCTTCGTATACGTTTGCTGGAAGGTTGGCTTGAAAAGTCATGGGTTGTACAAGTTACAAGTACTGTAGTAGAAGTTACTTTTAATTCATTATGTTAATCTAATATAAATTTCATTTAATCTAATATAAATCCATTATGTTAATATATTGAAGACACTTTACCCAACTTGGTTCTTTAGTAGACAATCTGAGCTGAAAAACTAAAAAATAGAGTATCAGGCTGATTAGACAATCAAGAGCATCTTAATACTTTGAACCTTGATCATAAAGTATAATGGGGGAAAAGGCATTAAGCCGTCCTACACAATAGAAATGAAAGACAGCACTATTGCTACTCTCCCTAGGAGAAAGGCCCCGACAAACAGAGAAAAATGCAATATATCAATCGGAAGGATAGAATCCAAACTAGAAAACCTATTTATAAATATCCCTCCCTCCAGAAATAGAAAACCCTGAGCGACCATTTTTCATCCATCTGATATGTATTCTTCAATATCCCTCCCTCCGGAAACCTTGTTACTCCAAATGCATCCCAGTCTGAGACCTCGAAGCATGGAGATCTCAGCCCTCGTTGAGTCTTCCTTTTCAATAAGGCCTGAGAAAACATGCAGAAAATATCCTTGATCATTTTTAACTTCCCACCAAGACCCGAATTCCTTAGGTTACCAAGGCTACAGCCATTAAAATTTAGCTTTATGGAATTCAGAAGTGGGGGAATCCAATTATGAACCCCCAATGCTCTTTGTTGTTGATTTTGAATTTTTTTTTTTTTGAGAAAAATGTTGAAACAATTATGCCTATTCCCAATTAAAAAAAAAAAAACTGTTTTTAAGCCACTATACGCCAGCCTCAAATAATATCCTCAGTAGAGTATATGGCAAAACCATCCAATGTCCCCACTAGGGATGGCAATTTTTCCCCATTTCCCCGATCCCCGTGGGGATCCGCCCCGAATAGGGCAAGGATGGGGATGATTTTCCCCCCATGATGATGAGGATGGGGAAATTTTCATCCCCGTTAGCGGGAACGGGGCGGGGACGGGGAGAGCACTCCCCACCCCACGGGGACCCCGATCCATGCTTCGTTGGATCCCCACTAATATATATGTATATATGTATACATGCGTTATATATGTAAATATGTAAACATACGTCTATATATTAATATTTTTAAACATATGGTTGAATATGTTTGAATATTTCCTAATACGATTGTAAATGTTAATTATTTTATTTTTATTTTTTTAAATAAAATAAAAAAYAAAAACAAAATGATTAACATTATAAAGAATCACAGGAATGGGGATCCCCGTGGGGATGGGGATGGAGATAACCTTGTCCCCATTAGCGGGGACGGGGATGGGGAGAGCTCCCCATCCCCACCCCGCCCCGTTGCCATTCCTAGTCCCCACCCAACCAGCCATTTTAATGGATATGATCTCAATCGGAGGTTCCTAGGCCTGCATCTTTCTTGAAAAGATTCTAGAATTCCACCTCTTCCAAATTGTTCAAAGGACTCTAGAAACTGAATATACTGGACGGTTAAAGAAGGTAGATTTGATTTAAGATGATTCTCAAAGAAATGTAGTTTTTTTTTTCCAAGCCATGAATCTCCTAGTGTCTATTATTATTTTTTTAAAAGGTAAGATAAAATTTTTTTTTTGCAATTAAAATGAAATGGCAAGGGCTTTTGCAAATCACTTTAGGTCAATCTTCAAAAGACCCCTAAACAACAGGGTTTGGATTGAAGGAATGGAATGGCCTACATTGAAATTGGAGGAAAAGGAATGGCTAGAAAGGAAATTTGATTTGGAAGAAATAAAGGAAGCAGTGTTCTCTATGTACAGATSAAAGGCACCAGGTCCTGACGGTTTTATGATGACTTTTTATCAGGATTGTTGGGAGATTCTAAAAGAGGATCTAAGGATAGTGTTTGATGAATTTCATTCTCGAGGAGTGATAAACCAAGGGCTAAATTCCACATTCATTGCCTTGGTTCCCAAGAAAATGAATGCAAATCACCCAAGGGACTATAGGTCGATTAGCTTGGTAAACAGCCTTTACAAGATCATCACTAAGGTGTTGTCCATTAGAATTAGAAAAGTGCTCCCAACAATCATAACAAACAATCAATGAGCTTTTGTGAAAGGGAGGCAGATAKCAGATCAAATACTTATTGCAAATAAGAGCTTGGAAGAGTTCAAGAGATCCAAGAAAAAAGGGGTGGTTTGCAAACTTGACTTGGAAAAAGCCTATGACATGGTGGATTGGTCCTTTTTGTTGGAGGTGATCGTCAATTTTGGGTTTGGAGACAGGTGTTGTAAGTGGGTGATGGGATGCATCAAGAAATGTCATTATTCCATTTTGATAAATGGGACAGTGGTTGATTTCTTTCCAGCTTTGAGAGAGATAAGACAAGGAGATCCTTTTTCTCCATTCTTATTTACGATGGTTGCAGAGGTTTTGGGGAGATTAATTTCTAGAGCAGACTCTAGGGACTTAATAAGAGGATGGAGAGTTGGAAGGGAGAATGTGTCACTCACTCATTTGCAGTTTGTAGATGACAATACTTTTTTGTGAAGGAGGGGACCTAAATAGGATAAGAAACCTGAAGCTCACTATACAACTCATTGAGCAAATGTCAAACCTCAAGGTGAATTTTGAGAAGAGTTGTCTAGTGGGAGTAAATAAGGGGGAGAGGGAGATGTTGGAGTGTGCGGGTATCCTAGAGTGTGCAGTCTCTAATTGGCCCCTTAATTACTTTGGTTTGTTGTTGGGAGATAACCCTAGGAAAGATGAGTTTTGGAGTTCGGTTGTGGAGAGGTTTGAAAAGAGACTTGCAACTTGGAAGAACTATTTGTCTCTTGGTGGGAGGATCACCTTAATCAGATCCACTCTAGCCAACCTTCCTGTCTATTTTTTATCAGTCTTTAAGATTCCAGCTAAGGTAGCTAGCAGGTTAGAGAAACAAATGAGAGATTTCCTTTAGGAGTTGGGGGAGGAGAAAAAGGACCATAGGGTTAGGTGGGAGATGGCTTGTAGGAGCAAGAGGAAGGGAGGTTTGGGTATTGGGAATATAAGGAATAGGAATTTGGCACTATTAGGGAAGTGGTTATGGAGATTTTCTTTGGAAAATGATAAGTTGTGGGTGAAGATAGTGGACAGCATTCATGGGGTAGCAAACAATGGATGAGACTCTAGGATTGTGGCAAGGACTACAAGAGCAACACCTTGGAAAGCTATTTAAGTTATTTTGCCTTTGTTCTCTCCATGGATCAGGTATGACCTACACTCACGTAATCTCATTAATTTTTTGGAACATATCTGGATTGGGGATTCTCCTTTAAAAGATCAATTTCCGAATCTTTTCACCCTTTCCACTCTTAAAAACCAACCAATCTCCTTCCTTGTTCCTTCCAACTCAACCTCTGAGTTCAGTTGGAATTTGGGCTTTAGAAGCGAAATTAGGGACACAAAATTTGATTATGTCCTATCCTTGCTATCTATTCTTGAAGGGGTTTTTTTAGAGCCTACAAAGACAGATAGCAGAATTTGGTCTCTCACCCCTTCTGATTCCTTCACATGTGTTTCCTTCTTTAAAGATCTAGTCCAACCTTCTTCTTTGGGTCTGTCCTTCCCTGTTAAAGAGGTGTGGTGTCTTCCTATACCCCCTAAGGTTGGGAGTTTCTGTTGGGAAGCCTTTCTAGAAAGAATTAATACATGTGATCTATTTCAAAGAAAAAGACCCAACAGTTGTTTGTGTCCTCATTGGTGTACTCTCTGCAAAGATGATAGTGAGGTTGAATACCATTTACTGATTTCCTGTCGATTTACTAAAAGTATTTGGGAATGGTGTACTTCTTTGTTTGGGTGCAGGTGCCCCCCCCCTTTGAATGTACAGAGTTTTTGTTGGGAAGCCTTTCTGGAAAGAATTAATACATGTGAACTACTTCAAAGAAAAAGACCCAACAGTTGTTTGTGTCCTCATTGGTGCTCTTTGCAAAGACGATAGTGAGTCTGAATACCATTTACTGATTTCCTGTCGATTTACTAAAAGTATTTGGGAATGGTGCACTTCTTTGTTTGGGTGCAGGTGGGCCCCCCCTTTGAATATACAAAGTTTATTTAGGCTCATGCCGAGTAGGCCAACAAAAATGGCCAAAGCTATGTGGAGATGTACGAGGGTTGCAGTATGCTGGACTGTTTGGGAGGAGAGGAACTCAAGGATATTTTCAGAAAAGGAGAGAACCTTGGAAGTAATATTGGAGGTGATCCATATTAGGGTGATACATTAGTTGAAAACTTTGGCCATGTTTGCAGATGAGATGGTAAAAAGTTGGAAGGAAATTACAGAACTAGCCTTAGCTAAAAAGACATCACTCTCTTGCTGGAGTCCCCCATCTAATGGCTTTCTTAAACTAAACTTTGATGGCAGCAGTATGGGAAATCCAGGTCCATCTAGAATAGGGGGAGCAATAAGAGATGAACATGGAAATCTGTTAGCTATGTTTTCAGGACCAATTGGGGAAGGGGATTCCTTGAGGGCTGAGATTCTTGCAGCCATTGAAGGGGTTCGAAGAACCAAGGAGATGCAAATTAGAAAGTTGATTATTGAAGGAGATTCTGAAGTGGTGGTGAACTACTTAAAAGAAGATAACTCAAGGATATGGAAGTACAACAATGAAAAACGAAAATTTAAGTGGCTGGCTAAGGATGTTGMAATTCAGTACAAATGGGTTAAGAGAAGTGCAAACTCTCTGGCAAATGGTTTAGCCAGGCAAGGGGTTAATAGAAACTCTTTGTTTTGGGCTTTATTTTAATTGTATTTGCTGCTCATAGACTGTTTCAGGGAGCTAAGATTGTTTAGCCCCTTTGCTTTGTAATTCTTCTTATCTTTAATGAATACATTTCACAGTTATTGATCAAAAAAAAAGGTAAAATTTTTTTTATCAGTAAATAGTAAGATTTATTAAATCATAGTCAAAGAGAGTACAATTTAGAGAGAGGCACAAGATGCTATCTYCCCTTTAAGGAGGGGAGATGGAGGATACCATCAACCCTTAGTTAATAAACAGAACAAAGGACAAAAAAAAAAATTACAGAGAAGCCCAATACAAAGAAACCCGAGTAGCCCCTTGTTTAGAAAGATAATCAACCAAGGCATTAACTAATCTACCCACCCACTGAAACCTAACTATCATATTCCTCAAAAGCCATTTAACCTTTTTTTTTAAATATCCTTAAAACCCCAAGTGGCAGTACCTAGGTCAACCAACCATCCTACTACCACCTTGGAATCTCCTTCAATTATTAAGTTCTACACTCCAAGTTGATAAGCAATCTGAATCCCCTGTACCACAACTAGGAGTTCAGCCTTCACAAAGTCTCCTATTCCCACCAGTCCCGAAAAAGAGCAAGAATGTTGCTGTTCTCATTGCTCGGTACACCACCAATACCAGACGGTCCCGGATTGCCCTGACTACTCCCATCAAAATTCAGCTTAACAAAACCCTCCATAGGCAGAGAGTCCAAATTACTTGAATTCTAGGCTTCTTAAAAGAAATGTAGGCAACTGTAGACCAACTCCTCCTTATAT